TCTGGTACCTGTTTTTTACCACTACGTGATTTTTTTCCTAATCAACAGAGTTAGATGCTTTGTGGAAGTCAAGATATCATTATTTTGAGGTTTAAACGACTATACATGTAGTCTTTGGAAAAGACAGATCCATAATAATTTCACTGTTTTAGCATGCCCTGGGAGCTGGTCAAAACCTTGTCGGCGCCAAAGTACTGGATGCTTTAGCTCTAAGCACGTTTTGATTAATGTAAAATGCATGTAACTATCCTTTTCACATACTTACTACTGTCAAGAAATTAAACAATGTGAAGTACACCTATAAACCAACTGATTTGATACGAAAAGCGAGCAGGGTGACCAGCTTAATGAATGTTATAACAGGAGAAAATGTGCTGCTGTTGTTTCATACTGCTTTATTGTAAATTGTACTGCAGTATATTATCTTGTTCAGCCGTGAACAGATATGTATGTGAAATCTATTTTTTTGGCTTAAAAATACTGACTGTGTATAGACACAGGAAAACACAAAATGTACATGTATTTAACATTCTTGTATTACTTGCATATTCCATTTCTTTTTACCTCCATGCATATTCCTACTGTCATACGGCCATTCTGATCTTGGCACTTAAACATATTATACACACGGGGGAGGGCGACTGGTAGATAGACACTCCCACATTCCAATCATGCGCTGTTAGCAGTTTTACAGACAATATTAAAACAAAACAAAACCAAAAAGGATTACCGTGATTAACAGCAAGATGGAATCAATTGTAGTGGTGCAACTATTCAATATGCATGGTTTGAGAAGACTGCATAAACCAAGTGATTGCACATCGCTAGATTTTTAAGACTTTCACACCTTTAACAAATGAATGTTCGGTTCTATATTTTTTCCAATCGACACTCATAAATATCTCATTTTGTCTAATAATATGCTTGCACAACCACCTTACCAACTATATACTTTGGGAGCTTCTTCTTGTTGAGCCGACTCATCCCCAGGTTTGGGCCACAAACAACCCATTTTAAAGACAATGTTCCAGCTACAATGGGGAAGTCCTCAAAATCTCCAGACACAAATACTACAGCGCAGACAACAACAGTTACTCTGTAATCTTGTCAGACGCCGACTTACTAGTCTCGCGAGTCACGTGACAAGCGTTGACTATGTTATAACAATATCACTGAAGTTATTACGCCTAATAACATACTCTTACGAAGGTGCAATTAATCATTTCAGTGGTGATGTTTTCAGTCACAATATTGTTAAATTTTAAGTATAACGCCAGATTTCGACAACATCCCGTTTCGCTAAGATCTCGTACAAAACGAATTTTAGGAGACCAATTTCTGCGCATGATCAGAATGGTTAGCGACGTCGGCACGAGTGTGGTAGACTGAATGAAGCTCTCCCGTGAAAACAGGTAATTTAGTGCGTTGATTTCACCCCCAAAACAGAAAATTCGTTACACTCACTGCTATTTTTAATAATTTGGTTTGTTCTACTCGTGATTCTGTCGTTGTTAATCTCTGACAGTCGTGCAAAACACCGTCAACCCGGAAGTAACACGACCACGTCTTTCAAGAAGTTGAGTTGACGAGAATTGTTGTGATTTTCGACTTATGAATCATACACTCCCGAGAACAACAACTTTGAAAACGATTACATCATTGTTTTATTTTTAGTAACTGGTTAGACTTGTGATGTTTCTAGTCATATTATGTACCATGGCATGGCGTATACAAATAAACAGTAAACGTGTCGCTTGCAAAACTAACCGCCAGCCGGGTCACCGCCTCGTGCGTATGTGCGTGCGTATGTATATTATCGCCCATTCACATGTTCGACGAAACAGGTTGCTTCCCGGTATTACGAACATTCCGATAGTTGGGCTAGTAATGTTGTATTATAAATCTCCATGGAGCGATAAATTATTGCATGGATAGTGCCATGACATCGTTGACTGTTTAATATACTTTATATACCAGAGTAGAACGTGAGTGGAATGCATCCTAATTTCCAGCATCTTAATAGCATGACAGCTTTGGGTCGCTTGCGAGTCAAATGAAGACTGGAATGTAATTTATATTAAAGCTGAATCGTATCAATCATGGTGCATGGAGATTTCTGTCTCTGTATACCAATCCCTTGATTGGATCAGTGCTTTACTTGCAAATGTAAACAGTTAAATCCAAACCACCAAATTATGTTATGGTGAATGTTTGCTGCTAGTAAATTTTGCGATTAGATTTTAGTAAAATAAATAAAATAAAATAAATTATCACTGTTTTCTGTTTCAAATGGTTGTTGTTGATTAAAACACATACCAGCAACTTCTTTATTTTTAACCTGGCATGAAATATATTTTTGGAGAAAAACTATTTAAAAAATGCAAGAATAATTGTTTTACTAATGTTAAAAGCATTGTTTGAAATAAATAGCATCCTTTCAGAATTTAATAATTTGTGACAACAATATGAGTCCATCTATGATTTTGTCACCATGCAGTATATGAAACCATAGACCCTAAAAAGAGTCTATGATGAAACCAAACGGAATTTAGAATATGGTGAAACGATTTTACCATAGAAACCAATGTTAAATGGCTCTCAAATCACAGTTTTCATGTACCATGCATTTTTTATACGAGTTTTGTGAACACTATATTGGAAATGTGATAAGGCAGAACAATCAAAATAAACCCTAATAGCTCGTGCTTCCCAATTTTTGAGTATAAGTGTAATACTTCAGTTTTACAATCATTCACTTTCTTATTTCATTGATACACATTTTGATCGAAGATTTCAATATTTCAGCATTTCCACTTGTTATAAATAATTGCGTATTGTTAGCATACATCGTAAATTGTAACAGATATTTCAATATAATATCACTATACAAAGTAAAAAGAATAGGGCCTGTGGTACACCACATAGTAGAATACATGGTTCTGAACAAAAATTATCAGTACAAATATGTTACGTTCTACCCAGTAAATACAACGAAAACCAGGTTAAGGCCACATAATTAACACCAAAGTGAGTTTGTAATCGCTTCAAAAGAATTGCGTGGTCAATCGTATTATAGACTGCACTCAAATCTAGTTAAACTAATATCATGTTCAACCATTATAGAAATAGACTATATGCTAATTGAAACTTTGCCAATAATTTGATGAATGCCGATGAAGCTTTGTAGAAAATACGCAACTCTGCTAAAAAATAACATTGTCACATTCAAAATAATGTAATACAATTGCATTAATTTAGACGCAATCAAATATTCAAAATTATGCAATTGGAAACTTTGTGCCAAAGTCAACTGAGGTCGATTGACTGAGAAAATGTTACAATTTATATGTCAATTGTCATGAAAAAAAGATATAATATAATACATATATCTAGAGATGTCACGTTTTGCAACACATTTTGTTTTTTTAAGAATTTAATTAAGGTTACTGTTTTGTATTAAAGATTAGAGTGAATTAAAAAGATGCAAATTTAAATTTGAATACTGCTAATTAATAGAATGCATTTAATGATTAGTTTTTTAAATTAATTAATAGAGTTGTTACCGTTTATTTTAATAAACTGCAGCCATTTTGTTTAGTATAACCAAATTGGTTACTATAGTACATATAGTACTAGTATGCCATATCTTAAATTGTAAACTGGTGAAACAATTGTATATCAATACTGATGGGATACTTTTAAAAGTGTTAAAAAAAATGCCATTTTGCTTTTAACAGTGTGTTTTATTGAACCGTTCCAAAAATAACAAATGTTGAATAATATTCGGTCAATTACTGTACCTAATGCTGTTTACCATATACAATGTAGCTGGCATAAAACTAGCTTTGTTGAATTTCAAAATCACCATATATTTAAATGATGCAGAGAAATCTGCCTTAAAGTAGCGAGAAGGGAAATTTTCACT